TCTGCCCAGCCAACTCCTACTTAACGCTTTGGACTTCAATTTGTCTACTATCTCTTCAAAGAAACCTTCCCCAACACCTTACATCAGGTCAAATTCCCTTACTCTATATTCTCACAGTACCATGTACCTTTCCTTCAAAAAACTTGTCACCTGTCAGCTTTTCCTTTTTTATTTGATTAAAGCTTCATTCCTCATTAGACTATGGGCTCCATGAAGGCAGGGACGAGCTGGACACCACTGCCTTCCAGAGCCTGGCATGCTGCTGGTATTCCACAAATACTTGATGGATGAATGACCCAAGTCACTTATCATGAATGTCTCTGGACTGGTTACTTCCTCTCCTGGGGGCCTGCATCCCTCCTCTGAAAAATGAGAGGCTTAGATTTCATGGTTCTGAAGTTGCTACAAGCTGCCCAAAGCACAGTGAGAATTCCTAGTGTGAGAAGCTCCAGAATTAGGTAAATGGAAGTGATAACAGTTAACTCTCCATTAGGTACCAGGGCAGTGAGGCTAATGTGCAGTCCATGAGAAGCATCGCTTAGTAAATATCCCGTGATCAATTCTTCAACAGACCTCTCCCTTGAGCTGCTCACACACATGGAAAGAAAACTGTCCCAACTCCCTTCCTCTGACTGCTGCCATCTAATGGGACTAATAAGTGATGGGAAAAAAAATGAGGAGAAGCAAAAGGACTGAGACACCAGATCCCAGATAACTGAAAGCCAACTGTCTTTGTTAATTCTCAGGTTGAGTCAATAAATCGTTATTGAGCATCTGCTCTGAATCGGGCACTGGGGAGTCAGGGGTTAATGGGATATGGTCTCCGCCTTCAAGGGTCTGGTGGAGGAAAGACAGGGAAAGACATAATTACAATATTTTCATCCATCCATTCATTCAAATATCTGTATTTGGATAGCTAATCTGAATATATTGTGGGGGCATAAACATATCCTGGATCCTAAATTGTAGGCAGGAAGCAACACTTGGAAGCCTTGAATATTTTAAGCAAGCTGAACTATGGAAAATATTTCTGACTATGGAAAAATAGTGGAAAAAACTATGGAAAAATATTCTGACATTTCACAAAATGTACCTCTTCCCCAAAGCCATCTCTACTCATCAGGAGTTGGAAATAGTCAGAAATCGGGAGGTAGTGAAGGTAGTAAATGAATAGTTATGCAACAGTTTCCACTCCCACATAGAATTAAAAAATGACCATGTCCTGTTGGTTCTGCCTGGGCGGCGGTGGTGGTGCCACTGTTGGAGAGCTGGTGGGCCATGGTGGTTGGGTCAGGTGTTGGCCTGACAGACAAGAGGTGGCCTCCAGGCTCCACTAGCTGCTGGCTGAGGAACCCAGGACAACTCTCTCTGAGCCTCAATTTTGCCCTCTGTACGATGGGGGAAAAGCCTGTCTTACAGGGTTGTCATGAAGTTTCAAGGATTTAATAGATGTGCTTAGAAGAATGTCGAGCATATGGCACAGATCAGTAAATAGAAACTCTTAGGGGTACTAGTGTTGGGATATTCCATCTGGCTAAACACCAAGGCAGATGTCTGACAATGCTTGGCTTAAGTATTTTGACTCATTTTTAGGAAAGGGGGCATTTATTTTTCAGATTCTTACCAGGACAGGTCTCTCCACGGATGGCTCGATAACTGTTTGGACCCAGAGGTTGAATAGAGACAACACAACTCAAGGGTTGGGAAGGACTCCTTATCTTTGTGTCTAACCTCACGGGAAGGTGAGCATGGATTGAGGCAAAAGTTGTTGTGAGCCTTGCAAAGCTTCAGTCAGAGGAACCGGCCAGGGGAGACGCTTAACTCCTGCAGAGGAAATCCCGTCCCGAGTCAGCTCTCGGTGGCTTCCCCAAGTCCTCTCTCTCATACGTGCATCACATAACACCTTTTATGAAGTCGAAACCATGCATTATTTGCAGGATTATTGTATGTGTAATGACCGAACCCAACTGCAGTTTCCTCAATAAATGTGTTTAAATAAAGGCATCGCTGAGTATTTATGAATTTCAAGAGACCCATGTGTTTGATTCGTAAAAGCTGTGAAGTAATTTGGGGAGGTTTTTTTCCCCTCTAAGTTGAAAGGCTCCTTTAAGGGGTGCCTCTGTCCAGGATGCCACCGCCAGTGAGGACTGCAGCTCCTTTCTCAATGCAACGGCACCTCCAAAATATCAGGGAGCCAATTAGGGATTTCGACGTCGCCAGGTGTGAAGAAGATCTTGGAATCTTGTTTAGGAACAGTTTCAAGCGCACACTTGTGGCATTTACCATAAATAACCGTAAAAAGAGGTTCCTGGGAGTTCCCAGATTTTGGGGGGAGACAGCTAGTTCTTACATCTTTGAGGTATCTGATGTTAAATTAAAAGTCAACTCCAAAATCCTAGGGATCTCCCCACTGCCACCAGGGAGTCAACCAGAATTGGGGAATTTCCGTTGGGAATAGAGGCAGAAACAGCAGTCAGAAGAGCGAGCGCTCTGGAGCGAAACCGACGTGCTGGCTGGAGGAATGTGGGTAAGTGCCTTGGTTTCCGAGTCAGTTTCTGGGTTTATAAAAATATGGGGAAGCTTACCTCTCAGAGTTGCTAGGAGAATTGATAAGACCATCTGTGGCCAGAGCACCCAGCTCAGCCTCTCCCACTCAGGAGGCCCTGCATCTCCCTCCATCCTTCTTCCTCCCTTCCCAAAGCTTGTCTTTATGGCGTGAGCATTGCTTCCTCCCTTTACGTTTCTCTTGGGCCTCAGGTGAGCATGAGTGGCAGCCGACCCAGATGGGCCTTTTCAACTGTTGGTGGTGGTACAGCTTGGGAGACAAGGGATGGGGACAGGTGGCCTCAGGGGCTTGGGGAGCTGCCACCCCTAGACACCTCCCACTCAGCGATGGGGACCCAGGAGTGCCATCCAAGCTCACTCTGGGATACAGAGACACTTAGCATCCTTCAACTCAGCAAACACAGTCGGTTCAGAATAGCTTTTGCCTGCTGTGGAAAATCGTTGGGTTTTCTTTTAGTTTGCATCTTCTTATCGTTTACTGAACCCCAAACTTGACTTCCCGGCTACACCAAACCTCTTTCGATTCCTCAGCTGCACCATTCCTTTTCTTGTCTCTGGACCTTTGCCTCATCTGTTCCTTCCACTTGAACACTCTCTTCCTTATCTGTGTACTTGGCTAACTCCTTCCCATCAGCTAACCCCTGAGTCAGGGGTCCCTTCCTCCAGGAACCCTTCTCTGAACCCCAGCCTGGGTGCCCCTCCTGTGTGCTCCCACACACAGCCATGCCCATCTCTGGCACACCACAGATCACCCTGGCTAGGAAATGAAAGAGCAATTTACTCTCTCCTTGGCCTGACTGAGCTCCACATGAACGAGGACTGTCATCTGTCATCTTCATCACGTTATCTCAGGTGCCTAGCACAGCGACCGCACACAGTAGGTGCTCAGAACATATTTGTTGAATTGAACTGAATTCTATTGTTTACTCTGTGGTATGAGGAAAAAGCAGTTATGTAGACTTACGTCAGGCATCAAATAGGTCCAGGACAGAAGACAGGACAAGTTAGGAACTTTCAGGAAGATTCTGATGGGACAAAAAAATGGCTCCCTCATTTCCACAAGGGAGACCTGGGCTGGACTGGTAGCATCTTATAAGAAGGCAGGGAAATGGCCAGAGGGAGGACGGAGGTAGTCAGATGGAGGTAGTTGGTGCTATTGGTGACCTGGGTAGCCTTCTGGCCCCCTTCCTCCTATCACGAGCCTCCACCTCCCTGGGCCGTATCCTCACCCCCACCCATTACCACTTCCTCCTGAAAAGTGGAGGGGAAGGAAGATGGCATTCTGTGATTGGCTGCTCATCAAATTGCCCTTTTACTAGCTGATGGAATTGGCTAAAACAGGTTTCTGGAGGATTTTCTTTTTTTTGTCAGGTGCCTCATTTTATTACCCAATCAATGAATTGATGAGTGACATGGCCAGCCAAAGTTGTCCGAGTTCATTAATAAAGAGGCATGCTAATTTCCAGGGCTCCCTTTGGGGCCTTATCAATCTTCCTGGAGGTTCTCACCTTTATTTTACTATTTTTAAAGATGACATGGGGGCCCCTTCTATTGCTTTTTAAGTGACCTCTGGAGAAGCCAACCTGGGCAGGCTGTAAAACGTGCCTCTCCCTCCTGGTTCCAAGCTGTCCGTGGAATATTTCCGCGTTGGCCACACGGGACCTGTCCCTCCCGTATCCCTCTCCCTAATTCTTTTTTCTAGACTCACCACCAGGCAAGCTGCTGGGCTTTAGGCCCTGATTGGCAGGGACCTCCTGTGAAGCACACACACCAAGCTTGGGTGGCACATCCCATTACGTGGATGACATGGCCATTAGTAACCATGGTAACCTCCCTTCCCAGGCTTTTGTGGCTCCACAGGACTAATTTACACCAGCTTCTTCCAGATTCAAGGGGTTCCGGGGACCCAATCAGTGCAGCTACGAGCCGGGTGACTTAATGAGACGCACCTTCCTTTAGTCATGACAAGACAGATACCAAGGACCGTCAGAACCTGTCAGGTTAAAAGAAACAACCCCAAACCTCTATTCCGTAAACCTGGATACTTACACTTGAAAAAAATCCAAAAACAAAAGAAAAGGGGGGAAAAAAAAAGAAAGAAAAAGGAAAAGACATCCTTTTCATGTTTGTTTCTTACAGCAGCAAACACAAAACGGACAGAGGATGTGTTGTTGTTACAATCGCTACTAGACTTTAGAACGGACAGGCCCCCAAAGGCCACAGGCAGCAGTGCTGTCACCACTCAGCACAGCCTTGCAAATAGGGATGTACATCTGCCAGCCCCTATTTTTCTTATTTTTTTTAAAAGAATCTTTAAAAAGAACCTATCATCCGTGTTAGCATCTCTGTATCCTACAACTTATATCAATTCTGGCAATAAAAAGAAAGAAACCCAGCATCCTCCCCTAGTGGCCCGGGCGAGCAGGTGGAATTACCTGTCTAGGCCTGGCCGGCCTCGGCAGGGACGCTGTCGGAGTCCGAGTCGGCCAGCTCTGCCGTGCCTTCGGCTGCGGCCTGACTCCAGCTGTCCGACCTGTCTGAGATGGCGTCCTCCTCTCCGACTGTCACCTCCACCCAGTCCACGACGCCTGACTCCTCGTTCTCATCGCTGCCCTGGCCATCCCGGCTGTTGCCCTCTGACCTGTCCAAGGTGGCCTCTGAAGGCTTTGCTGGCAAACCGTCTTTTGCTCGTTCGCTGCCCACTTTCACCCTGGGTACCAACTTCTCCAAGTCCTCTTCGCAGAGCTTTTTGGGGTCCTTGTAATATTGCTGACCCACCTCACTCCCGTTCTTTGGGCTCTCGGTGATGACGGCTTTTGCTGCTTTCCTAGACGTGGCGTCGTAGCCATGATCATCCGCCACGTGCTGTTGCTGGTACTGCTCCATCCACTTCAAGGTTCCGGTTTTTAGCAAGCATCTGTTCTCCTTGAACCAACGCACGATTTCAGTCCGCACCAGACCAGTCTTTGCTGCTAACTGGTCATACTCCTGGGGCGTAGGCCACTGGGTTCTTGCAAAGGTGCTCCTCAGGAGATGAACCTGTTCTTGACTTTTTGTAATTGCTGGTGAAGGGCTGGGCAGAGAGCTGGCTAACTGGGCACCGGAGAGCTGGTCAAGTCGAGACAGAGCACCATTGGGGGCCACCGCATCTTGGCCTTTTTTGCCAGACCCCATGGAATCCAAGACAGCCTGTTCCATGCTGTCCCGAAGCTTCCGCCTCTCCGAGAACCAGGAGTCGATCTCTCTCCTGCTCAGCTTGGTCTCCACCCTTAGCCGGTCCAGTTCTGCTTGGGTTGGAAAAGAGCTTTTCAAAAAGCTGTCTTCCAGGATTTTAAGCTGATCCTGCGTTTTTTCTTTGAACTTCTGTGGGGCAAAGTCTGGGTATGCATGGTACGTGCGACCGTGTCGGGAGGCTGCGATGGCCAGCTGGTCTTTGGCAAGGGATTCGCTGGTGATGTGGACAATGCCCCTTTGACACCGATACCGGTGGTCACTGAACCACTTCTTGATCTCACTCCTGGCAAGGCCGGTCACCTCGATGAGTCGGTAGACCTCAGCATCGTCAGGGAACTGGCTCTGGAGAAAGCTCGCCTTGAGATGTGCTATCTGCTCCTTCGTCTTCTTGCGGTCGCTGGCCGGGGTCAGTGAAGGGTTGGCCACCTTGGGTTGGGGCTCTGGCACCTGAGCAACATGTGGACGCTTGGGCTCGGGGGCAGCTTGGGGAGTCACTAGAGGTCTCTTCTGGCCGTGGTTGGTCACTCCAGCCACAGCAAGCGTGATGGGGCTACAAGAGACGGTTGTTGACCCACTTGTCACCTGGGTCAGCACCAGGCTGGTCTGGCCAAGGATCTGGCACGGTAGAGCTGTCTGCAGGATGGGCTGTGACATTTTTGTGGGGGCCAGCTGGGCGGGCAGCACAGTGATTGTTGGGGGTACTGACTGGATGGTGCCATTAAACATCTTCTTCCGGGCCTCCTCTACCTCCTCCGGGGACCAGCTGATGCCGTGCTTTAAGCGCTGGGTGGCAAACCAGATTCTGATGTGCTCTTCTGGGTGTTTGGAAGCGGCCGTCAGCCAGGACAATTCAGCCTGGGTCGGGTAAGGGAACTTGTTGAAGGAGTTGATCATGGTGGCGTTTGTGTCCAGGGCAGAGTTGTATTTGGTAGTATTCAGTGGGACGGGGACCTTGGGGACAAGGTTGATATTTGGTGGCAGCTGGACAGAAGGCATGACGTGCCCTAACGTGTCCTGGAGGAGCTCCACGCTTCCGAGTCTCGAGAGGATCTCAGCCGCGTCTGTCACCAGGCGGGCGGTCCCTTCCACGTGGTTCTCGGGGGTGGCCTCCTCGGGCTTCTTGGGCACCTTCTTGGCATCAGCTTTCGGTTTCCCCGGCTTCATGATGGGGGTTTTACTCACCGAGATGCCAGGATCACTGTCACTGCTTCCGGGGCCGCTGGTGGGGATGGACACGACGTGGTTGGTGGCTTCGATGGACTGCTCTAAGACAGTCTGATTATTGCGCTTGATCAATTTCAGCTTGAAGTTGGTCTCCCCGGGGTGGAACTTGGCGTTGTGGTCAGACAGGGAGTCGTACTTTTTGGTTGTGAAGTTACATTCGGCACACACATAGAGGGGGTTGAGGATCACGTTGGGGTGCTGCATGTCAACGTGCTCCGTGAACTCGTTCAGGTTTTGCGTGGAGTAGGGGCAGTATTTGCATTCATAGCCACCTTGGAGTTTTTTGGATGGGTTTTCCCCTGTCGATTTCACCTCGATCACTTCATTTTCTTTGGAAGAGCTTTCAGGTTCCGCTGCCCAACCGTCCTTGGCTGTGTCAGGCTGTGGCGTGCTGATTCCTTTCTCTTTGGCCCTGTCTCCGTCCTCGGGCACATCTTGTTCTACTACTTGTGATGTCCGAACCATGCACGGGGTTGTAGATTTTCGTTTGCTCGCCATGCTGCCTGTCTGTGTGCGATGGCTTATTTGGGGGTGGGGGCAGGCAGGGAAGGGGCAGTGAAATTCTTGGAACAAATAAGATAAAAGGCTTTTGGCTTTATTCCCCCCCAATGGCTTTGGCTTCTCTTGAATGCTGAAGTCTAGTGTTTGAGTTTTCAGAATGATTTCAGCACAGAAAATTGTAACTGTTCCAATGGCTAAACATGAGAGGCAGCATCATACCTGTGGGATAAGAACAAAGATAGGGTCAGTATTTCTCCACAAGCCAAAAGAAATGAGCATGTCTTTCTGAATTGTACCCATGACCCATCCCAAATGGCACCCAAAACAAACACCCAGGTAGGCACAGACGGCGTCAGAGTGAGTGTACGTAAAAATGAAAGATCACATTCTTCTCTTCCCTTCTCTGGGAAGGGCAGTGGGAACAGGCCCAAAGCAAGCAAATGAGGATGCAGGTGACTTGTTCACGTTTAGGATACAGCACACCAACAAAGGTACTGAGATCTTCTGAAGTGGTGGGTGGGGTGGCGGAGGGACGCCGCAGATGAAATACTGCTGGGCTCGCAAGCTGCTTTTACTGATGGTATAATCAGAAGCAACATGCTTACCTGGGGCTGGCAAGTAGAATTTATATGGCCATTAGAAAATGAATGTGAACATTTTGTTTCTTATCATAAAAGTAAAATTGCTATAGAAAAATCTAGAAAATGCACTGAAGTAGAAAGGAGAAAAAAAATCACTCCCAATATTGTAGTTCTTTCATTTCACTTGAAAGGCTCCCCATTTCTATAAATATTGAGCAAATTAATGATTTAAAAAATGGTTGCATGGTATCACATTGTAGGGATATACCACACATAATGTATTTAGCCATTTGACTTTTGTTGGACATTTAAGTTATTTCCTGTTTTTGGCTCTTATCAACAAATCTGCAGCCAACACCCTGAGTCCTTGTTTCTGATAACTACCTTTGGATGAATGCTTAGCAATAGAAGCACTGGGTCAGAGTGTCAACATTTTAAGTTCTCTTGACTCATATGGCTGAGTTTTTGCATCAACTGGCCTTTCCCCTGGCAATAAAATGAGAGTGCCCGACTTGCCACTCACCTACATGAAATATTACTATGCAAAAGCCTTGCTGATTAAATAGAGGAAAACTGTTTTCATATGCTTTTCTGCTTTTCTTGATTGCTAATAAGGGTGAACTGTTTTCAAAGATTTACTTGCCATTTGTATTCTTTCTTTGTGAATTGTATGTTGATGTCATTTTTATATTGTGATGCTCAGTGGTTTTATTTTTAATTTGCATGAGTGCTCTCTATAATCAGAATACCAATATTATATTTGTTGCAAAACTTCCACGCTACCATTTACATTTTAGTTTCATATATGGTGTTTTTCATGTAAAATTTCTAATTTTTGGGTAGCAAATTTATTAATCATTTTCTCTTGTGGCTTCTTTCATTGTGATTTTATATATAGGAAGTGATTCCCTGCCTTGATAGCTGAGACATATTATGCTATGTTTTCTTAGAGTGTTTTAGCTTTAGTTTTTACATTTAACTCATCTGGAATGGGACTGGTCTTAGGTTAAGCTGTAAGACACAACTCTATTTCTTTGCAAGTTACCAATTATCTCGGTAGCGTGTATTGTGTTATCTTTTCTCTTCTCACTAATTTGTGAAACCATTTTTGTCATACATTAAATTTTCATATATACCAGGACGTTTCTGGGTTATCTATTCCAGTATTGAGTCTTGCACTTATGCCTTGCTTTAAAAAATATTTTTGGCAGGTTAGAGCATGTTTTAATATCTGGTAGAGGGAGTTCCTCCTTATCACTGTTCTTTTGCAAAACAGTTTTGGGTTATTTTGATCACCTATTCCCATCAATCAATTCTCATAAATCAGAATCATCTACAAAATAAAATCCTGTTAGAATTTTGATTGGAATTGTATTAAACAAATATTAATTTGGGAGTACAGGAACAATTCGCTTATTAGGAGGTAGGATATGTTAACAGAATCCAAACTGGGGAACTAATGCGCTGGGCCGTGTTGAACGTCTAAATGCATGGGCTGAGGCAGAGGAAGGCCTTTCATTTTGTGGCTAAAGGAGGATAGAGAAGTGTTTTGCAACAAGGATGGCTGATATCCAGGAGGAAGGGAACGGAGGAGTTGGCATATCACCTCCTGCCCCTCCCACTGGCCTGGGTTTGAGCCCCACTGTAGAGAGGGCTCGAGGGCAGAAGTGAAGATTTATTTTCATGAGCACCTCAGTGGGACTCTGGGCCCACACCCATCTGCTGAGGCCTACACCCATCTGTGAAGCCAAAACCCGGCCACTCTAAGGCTGGAGCCCCTGCATTTTCATGCAGGGCAACTTCATCAGCAGTCGGTGAGGATCCGTCAGGGCTGTGGTGAGGAGAGGACACGGGCACAGCAGAGCAGAGGGGAATCTGTCTTTCTGCTGACCACAACCAAACTGACATCTTCAGCCTCCATGTCCCCGCCCATCAGACTCTTGAGTTACCCCCTTAAACATGTGTCATCCCCTCCAGAGTTCTTCATCTCCATCAGTGGCTCCGCTGTTGCTCACTCGGGCCAAAGACCTCTGTCTCACCCAATACAGTTAATCCATCAGCAATCCTGTTGAGTCTATCTTCAAAATAAATCTAGAACCAGACCACTTCTTATCACTTCCACCTCTCCCTGACTTGTCTATGCCACCGTCATCTCCTACCTGGAAGCCTACGGCAGCCTCCCACGGGTCTCCTGCTTCCTCCCTCTCCAGAGCAGCAGAGGGATGTTTTAAGGTAGGAATCAGTTCACGTCCCCTTTCTACATGAAGCCCCGTCTTGGCTTCCCATCAGAGCGAACTCCACGCCCTTACAGCAGCCTACAAACCCCGGCACGTTCTGGCCCAGGCTTCCCTCCCTGCTTGCTGCTCACACTCTGGCTGCTGGAACAGGTGTCTCACTCCCATCACAGGGCCTCTGCCAGCACGTCCCACCCCCAGAGCTCCTCAGTCCTCACGGCCCCATTAAAAGCCATCCCCCCAGAGAGGCCTTTCCTGATCCCTACTCCAACCAGCCTCCCCCAGGCCCTCTTTGTTTCCTTACCTGCTTGGCCTTCTTCACAGCACTTTTCAATATTTAAAAATTATATACATTTATATATTTTGTGGCTAAAGGAGGAGGGAGGAGAGAGTATTTCCCTACTTGTTTAGTGTTTGTTTCTCCCTCCAGAACTGTGCTCCCAATACAGCAGCCAATACTAGCCACACGTGGCTCTTTAAATTTAAATTAATTAAAATAAAAAACATTCAGTTCCACAGTCACACTAACCACATTTCAAGTGCTCAATAGCCACATATTAAACATTGTAGGATATTTCTATCATCGAGGATGTTCTACTGGACAGAGCCGTTCTAGAACATGAACTCCATAAAGGCAGAAACTTTTCACTTTCGTTTCCCCAGAGCCTAGAACATACCTGGCCCACAGTATGCTTTCCATCAATATTGGTTGAATAATGAAATTAACTGTGGGGTGGCTACCTCGTGGGAACTGTAGCTGATACAGAGTGATGAGGTATGGGAAGACCTCTTGTGGATGCTCAGTAACGTGTGTGCATGTGTGCATGCATGTGTGCACGTGTGCATGAGTGTGTCTGTGTGCATGTGTGTGCATGTGTGTGTTGGGGCTTATATGAGTGGAGGAGCTCTGTAAGGGAAGGAGGTCCTGGAGTTCCATAGGAGATACTATTGACACAGCAGAATGTGGCTAAATTTGCCCCCACTAGCCAAGAAGCTTCAGCATTTGAATTACAATTAAAAAAAAATTTTTTTTTTTGGTGAGGAAGACTGGCCCTGAACTAACCTCTGTTGCCAATCTTCCTCTTTTTGCTTGAGGTAGATTGTCCCTGAGCTAATATCTGTGCCCATCTTCCTCTATTTTGTATGTGGGATGTCGCCACAGCATGGCTTGATGAGTGGTGCATAGGTCTGTGCCCGGGATCCGAACCTGCAAACCCCAGGCCACTGAAGCGGAGCGCGGGAACTTAACCACTATGGCATCGGGCCGGCCCCTGAATTACAATTTTTAACAGAGGGAGCAAAAGGAGAATTTTCTCCTGCAGAACAAAGAAATCAGGCAGGACTGGGTGCAGGGGAGAAGAGGCAGAAACTCCCCATAACTAGAATTATTTAAATCTGTTGACAAGTGAGGCCAAGAAATGAGCCAGATTGTGGTGAAACATCCCAAAATCTTCTCCATAGTCCAAAAACTGTAGTTCAGAATGAACAGTATCTTCTAAAACTTATTCGGCAACCAGGGATCCAAAGAACAGCAGATTAAAAAGAAAGAAAGAAGAAGGGAGAAAGAAAGAAGGGGAGGGAGGGCTCGGAAAACACTGAGCCTTTGAGGGCTTCATCTCTCAGGCTCCTGTTGACGGAGCTGCGAGAACCACTGCCCTTGGAAGAAGAATCCTGGCCCAACAAGGGGTGGCGACTGTCCTTTTGAGAGTCTGCGAGCCTCCAGTGAGGTCAGGGCCAGTGCCACGTTGCCTGGGACTTGCTGGCATGAAGGCTACAGTGTTTCAGGCCAAGTCGTCAGATTCATATGTACATTGGCCGAAATTGGCAAAAATAAAAAAATGAATGAATGAATGAATGAGTGAATAAAATGCATGTTAAAACTCCAACACAGTCCCTTCCTTGCTGGGTGGCAAGTATCCCAACAGACCTGCTCTGCATAGTCAGTCTCACCCTGGGCCAGCTTCCCATTGGGTCTGAACTGGGCACAGACACTTTCTGTGCCAATCTGAAGACACTCCACGTAAAGGCAGCAACGAGTTGTCCCCTGGCTGCTCCAGCCACCTGCTGAGGGCCCAGCAATGGGCAGCCTCAGAAGCGATCCCTGCCCTCGGGAGGGGGTCTGAGCAGGTTAGAACTAAGCACGTTTGTGATTGAGATCCTAGTGCCCTGAAGGAGAGGATGGGTAAGAAGTTTCCTTCATTTATGACTCTTCTCCATAGTGCCTCCTTCTTTCTAGGAGTCCCACTCCTCACAGGACAACTAAGACAGAGCGTGACACGCACGTTTTGCACGGAAAGGGAGCAAAACATCAAACACAGACTCTTGCCTCCTTTGCATGTTTTTGGCATTGACTGGATTTTTCCTTTTATCCATTATGGCATTTATCACGCACCATAAAGAAACC